AAAGAAAGAAAGAAAGAAAGAAAGAAAGAAAGAAAGAAAGAAAGAAAGAAAGAAAGAAAGAAAGAAAGATAGTCCAAGCAAAAACAACAGAAAATAAAACGATAATGAATTATTCACTTAAAAATAAAAGGTTAAAAAAAACGTCGGTCCAAACTATGCCATCGGTGCCGTCAGAGAACTGGTTTCATTTTGGTTCATTTAAACCCATCTGTATTCTTACTGCATTTTTTTGGTTTTGAATACAGCAACATTATATTATTAAGAGTTACAAGAAGCACAAACAATAAAATCCTTCTGAAAGAGGCTCAGAGTTCATAAAGCTGATCCCAATGTAAGAAATTTTAGCCGAGATTTTTTTCTTTTTTTTTTTTTGGTATCAAAGTGTGGAAATACTCCTTTTTCCTGTGTTGGACCACACCATACCTAACTGTACATACAAAGGCTTAAAAACTGAACTTCACATTTTGGATTTCTTGGTTGTGATGGATTTTGGTTTTGTGTAGAAAACAAAACAAAACAAAATTAAAGGCCTAGCATTCCTTAAAAGATTACATAGCGCTCGCCGCCTTTCACGCCAGAGTTTAAGCTCATCTGTTGTGGAGAAATGTCAGAGCTGAAGCCGTTTCGGTCAAACCTTGAAAAGAAAATGCAATATGACAAGATGTCAGGCTCAGAGTAAGTGTCGTGAGTGACTCTCAGCTACTACCACACCAAAGTTTAGCTCAATATCATAAAAGTGACTGAGTTACAATCATTGTTGTGTGTTTTGACAGTTGGCTGCAGCAGCCATCTTTAATTAGGTTTACTCCAAAGAATAATGAGTTGCAGATGTACATACAATGAATTTCCTGAATGTTTCAATAAAATCCATTTAGTGGTTCATGAGATGTGTTGGTAAACTGACACACACACACTGGCAGAAACATTATGACCCTTCCACCTTCGCCTTTGTGCGGCGGGTGATAATGACTGAAGAAATGAACATTTCTGGATTGGAAACTTTCTGTCTGAGGCTCTCAGGCGGAACAAACCCACAATATTTAAAATGACAAATTGTGTTCTTTTGAGTTTTGACATGAATGTATTTTGGTACATGTGCATGAATTCCAACACAACACATGCTAAATGTTTACATCCCAACAATGACACTCATCCCACATAGCAAAATTTGTTTGGCCCAGTCCTGGCCCACGCAGTTTACTGACACAGCCTAGATCCTGCGAAGGACGGCCCTGTGGTGGCCCAAGTGCGGTTTGCCAGAGGTGGTCCATGCATGGACCAGCACCACATAAACCAAACCACAACTGGGCCAGTTGTGTCAGTGACAGATTTGGGTCACATAAACCAAACCACAATGGGCCAGTAGTGGCAATAACAGATTTGGGCCACATAAACCAAACCACAACCAGGTCAGTTACGACACTGTCAGATTTGGGCCACATAAAACAAACAACTGGGCCAGGGTGTGGCATTGTCAGGTCTGAGCCACATAAACTAAACCACAATGAGCCAGTTGTGGCATTAACAGATTTGGGCCACATAAACCAAACAATTAGGCCAGTTGTGGTATTGTCAGATCTGAGCCACATAAATCAAACAACTGGGCCAGTTGCGGCATTGTCAGATCTGAGCCACATAAACCAAACAATTGGGCCAGTTGTGGCACTGTCAGATTTGGGCCACATAAGCCAAACAACTGGGCCAGTTGTGGCATTGTCAGATCTGAGCCACATAAACCAAATGACTGGGCCAGTTGTGGCACTGTCAGATTTGGTCTACATAAACCAAACCACAACCAGGTCAGTTGTAGCACTGTCAGATTTGGGCCACATAAACCAAACAACTGGGCCAGTTGTGGCACTGTCAGATTTGGTCTACATAAACCAAACCACAACCAGGTCAGTTGTAGCACTGTCAGATTTGGGCCACATAAACCAAACAACTGGGCCAGTTGTGGCACTGTCAGATTTGGTCTACATAAACCAAACC